CATGACCTTTCATGCTTACCACACACACACACACTCTCTCTCTCTCTCTCTGTTTGTGTGTGTTTTGTCATGGCTTGTTGATCATGGGATTGTTCATCTCTAGAAGAAGATGTGCATGACCACTGTAGACCTTTCATGTCGATCGTGATCCAGAAGTACTCGTAACTTCAAAGCTAGATAGTTGGCAACACATACTTCTCGCTACGTATTGTAGAAAGGGATGCACCGGTAGCTCGGAGTTCTGCATGGGCCAGAAGACATCTCCATGCACTCTTTGCATGCATGGGCCAGCGATGCATTCGAGATCGACGAGCCTCCTTCATTACTCTTCATCTTCGCTAACGGTGACATGCAGGAGCCGCATGCATGGGCCGCCGGCGAACCCGTCGTTGCTTCAGAGGGAGTTTCACCGGCAGTGAAACACCTGCAGGTCCACAGAATACATATGGTTGGAAGCTGATGATGCCATATATACGCTGTTTGACGTGAGCAATGTGCAAGCAGTCGTCTTCAATGGCTAAGACTGCAAAGTTAAGGGTAGAACGAGGCAAACACATCACTTTGTTCTTATCTGATTAGGAATACAAGTTTAGGTATATGATATACATGCATAATTAATTATATAGATAATATAATGCATGCTAGTCCAATATTGGTCAAATTCTTCTAAGAGCCCTAAGTTAAAGCAAAAACCATCTTGTAAACCACAATTAAGTTGATGAGGTGCATCCATCGGAACACGATAATTGTAACACCCTAGCTTAGTCTCATGATAAAACCGAGAGAAGATTTGATTTGATTATGAAGCTAGATGATCCTATTAGACTAAGTCTGAGTTCCAAGTCAGATTGTATTTGATGTGATGCTGGCATATTAAAATATAGTTTTGATGTTCTACTTTCTCTTCTTGTCTATTATTTAGCTCTATCATCTTACAAACATTCTTTTTTTTTTTCAGTTGAAAGAGTAGTGGATTGGGCTGTGTTTAGAGTCTAAACTGAGAGATTTATAGAGTTGGATGTATTTTATCTTTATGCTAGAAAAGAAAGAAATTAGATATGTGAGGATGTGTTTACTTTGAAGGGGAAAATTAAGGTTATAATCTGAATTTGTGGAGGGTTTTCTTTGTCCAACAAAACAAGATAAAAAAATAATATTAATTATTTTTCAACTTGTTTTATCATATATTCTTTTAACTTATCATAAACACTGTCCCAAACTATTTAGCATCAAGTTATAATATCAAGTTAATGCTGCATACAACAAGTTTATGTATGAGAGTAATGAAATTTTGAGTTTTATTTGGATATTATCATCATCCAGTGGCTGTGTATTAAGTTAGGAATTAACTTGCAAAATTGCTGATTAAAATAATATTATATTATCATTATAGAGCAAAATAGACACTGAAACTAATCTTGAAAACACAATTAGAGATGAAATTAAGCTAAAACCAAAGGCAGCAGTGTTGTGAATAAAAATTCCTCTCTCTCTCTCTCTCTCTCTCTCTCTGGGTCATGAGAGTGAGAAGAGGAGGGAAGGATGAGGCAGGTCTTTAGATAAGTTTCCTTTTATTCAAGAAGAACATGAAAGACAAAAGTAAAAATGGATACTACAGTGCAATGTTAGCCAATGAATTTTTGGATGTGGCAAATAAATGCTTCTTGTACTTTGATGAGAAAACAAGAAGAGAAATAAGATTAGTGTTGCATAGATACAGGGCAAGGGGAAGAAGACATGGATGATGGGGACAAAACATAGTACCCAGTGGGTCAGCATTCCAAGGAGGGGGATGTCAAAGATGGAAGGAAGCTTGATGGCAATGCCAATGGTGGTTGGACATATGGAATCTTTTCACCTTTCTCTTTTGACCTCACATGTCTCATCATCCTTCCCCTCCCCCCACCCCACAGCACACACTATTTCTCTCTTCTTCTTTATGCTATCTCTTGAAGTGAATTGATGACCTCATCTACTTTTTTTTGACCCTTTCATTGCCCTAAAGTTCTTGTCCTCACCCATTTGGTCCCTATTCTATTTTATTGCAATTGGTCAGTGTGGGGCAACAATTGGAAGTACTTGGATGATTCTTTTTAGAGAGTGGGGAGTGACTCCAAGTTCTAGTCTTGTTTGATTCTACACCAAGTAGTGAGCTCAAAATTACATCTCTCTCCAAACCATGGGATTAAGAAGTTAGCTAGCAAGAGATTATAGTTTTAATGTGATTGATTACATGAGAAAATTCATCAACCAAAGCTACAGTTATTTTTCTTTTTCTCTTTTTTAGCACTTCCAAACCTTATGCCATGTCTATCGGTCCATCTAAGAATACCCCGCTTACTTCCTCGATCTTATACCCTGAGAGCCACTCCTTGTGGGGCCATGTCGGCCCTCTATTGGTTCTCCAATCGATTGTTCCACCCACCGCGGCGGATGCATTGGCCTAAGAGGCCACCACGTGAACCACTTTGGACCGGCCGCTGAGCTCCAATTCGGCCGCTTCATAATGAATTGGACCAACAAATAGGCCTAACTTGGACCGGCTCGGCCCGGCTCGGATCATTAGAGTAAAGAAGCCCGCTCTTTACGCGTGGAGTGAGCTTACCATCACGCACTCAGAGAGAGAGAGGAGAGAGGGGGAGATGGGAGCGGTTCGAGGGGTGCTCCTGGACGAATCCGTTCTACTATCCGACGACGGTAGCGGAAACCCTCGCCTGAAACCGGGAGCGGAGGTTCTGCTTCGAAGGCTTCGCTACTCCAATCTGCGAGTGGTATGAGAGGCGTCTTCACATACGCTCCTTTTCTTTTTTGCTTATTGATTTCTCTTTGATTTGGTTGTTTTTTGGGGTCCTTTTTTGTTGGGTTATGATCAAATCCTGCGTTCGAGTAAATTGTCTTCCTTTTCTTGGAGCAATTTGTTTCAATCGCTTAAAAAGTTGAGATCTTTTTACCTTATAAAAGCTACAATGGGCGATCGGAATACATTAAATCTAAATTCGACCCTTTTCTTGTCTTCCTTAGTTTTAGGATCTGCGAGTTGTGGGATACTTTAATCTTCCGGTTATTTCTTCTAATTAATGCTTAGTTTCCTGCATGCTTGCCAGTCCAGAGAAAACCCTTTTGTCTTTACGTTTGCCTTTCTGAACTTGATGATATCGCATGTTATCGATTGATCATATTTGAGTGATGATTTGCGTGTATGCTTGATACTGTTGTAATGTAAGATTACTCATGCTTGTGCATGATGTTACTTACATGCACAAGAAAATCCAAAGTTTTAAATGTTAAAAGATCCAAAGTTTTTTTTTTTCTTAGTGCACAAATTGTCGACTTTCCAGTTGGAGAATCTATAAGAAGTTCTTCACCTATTCTTGCCTTCACATTTGATAGATTGGATGGACCTTATTATCATATGCATATCAGCTCTTAATTAATAACGTAGTTTTATCATTTAACGTTTTTATGAATCCAGATTGTAGAATACAACAAAATGCACATTAGGCATGTAGCTGTGAGATGAGAAAGATAAGCGCATGTGCCTAAAGTTACTGCAGTACATTTGCTGAGGATACTTCTCTTTTTCTTTTGTTCTGTTTATGTTTGAATATGCAAACTAGATGTTTCTTATCAGCATCATTATAACAGTATGACTGCATCTTGCAGCTGTAAGATCATTGAGCTCATTTCCTAAATTTCCATATCATATTGGAGCAACCTTTACTTTTCCAGAAATATATATTTCTACTGAATTATTTGTGTTTGATTGGTCTTAGTGTCTCAATCCACGACACTTGAAAGAGTGTTCTAACATATCTTGCTCACATTCCAGGGATTTTGTCATCACGAAGATCTCTCAGCCGTAAAGGTAGAAGACAATATGCTATTACGAGTTTTTGAGTCATCTAATGTTTTTCTTTAGGAGCATGAGAAAAACTGTTATTTTGCTATAGAGTTTTCAGAGAATTGGTTATTCTAAATTAAGCTGCATATAGCTACATATTTTGCACCTTCATAGATAGCATTGTGATCCCAAATGCAATGCAACCAATAAAAACCTACCTTAAGATCTGTTAGATAAATTTCAAGGTTTTCTTCCTTCATCCAGTATGTAGAATTTAAGGTTCCCATTGCATTTTTAAGTTGTTGATGAGCTATCTCTTTAAATACGTTGGCATAACAAAAAGCAATTGTTCCATAGTATGCTTGGTTTTCTTTTACATTGCTCATTTTGTTTAAAACTATATGATGAAAATTGAACTTTTTGAAGTACTACTAACAGAAGTTAGTACAGTATCATCATAATAGTTTGGTTACTGTGATATTTTTTACAAATGGATCAGACGGATGGCTAATTTAGTCGCAAGTGGAAGTTCTTTTTCAAATGTTGTTTTAGCTGCATTGTCATCTTTGTGGTGATTAGGTGGATCTTGTTGACAATCATCTTATTTTTACAAAGTGATCACAGTTGTGATCACCCAATAACTCTTTATTGGGAAGTTCTATAGTGGTGGTGTTCTATTTGTTCTGTTAGGGTGCGGTCAATAGACAACTTAGAATGTTCCTTTATATCACTCATATCAGGACATGCTACATGTGCTTTTCTGTTCGATTTAGAGATAAATAATTTGACATAGTTCAAGATGTCAACATAGGTTAAAACTTTAATCTGGGTGTGTTCCTTGTGATTCATATGAGCAGTTTTGTGCAGCACAGGAAATGAAACATTGATGCTGAATATTTATGTCTTGACCGTTCAGTGTGCCACTTGTGTTCATCTGTATGAATTCTCTTTTCAGCGTATACAATATCACTAGGTAGCTTATCATGTTCTTTGCATGTTGTGGTTCTCCATCCTCAAATTTGAAGCCACTTGCTAAGCTCAAAGTGGAAGAAACATTCATGCATGTGTTATTCACCTTCCTGTTCCTACCTATTTCTTGGTTCTTTTAGGGATCTGGTATCTTTTGTTTCCTTCTTTGAGTTCTTTCTAGGTTTTTCATGTGTTTACTTATCTTGTGCAGCTGCCGTACTAGTTCAGCCAGCTACACTAAATTACTCAAATATAAGACAGTGGCTCACTACAGCTGCCACCACTTTTTGCACACGATGTATGTGATGTGGAACAGAGTATTTTAGGTACTTGTTAGTTGTCACTTTATTCTTCTGACAAATCATGAAAACAATACATCTCAAGAATCAATTACCTACTCATACTCTTGGTGTGTATACAAGGTAAACAAGATTGTTTACCAGTCTGATTTAGTATATGCCATATGTCTTTTGCTATTATATTTCTTTTTATATTTATACTATATTTTGCTATTATATTCCCTTCCATCCATGTTCTATTGTTTTGGTTGGTCTTTTTTAACAAGGAGAGACTGTTGTCCCATGTTGTTAGGTAGGGTTAAGGTCATGTTATATCTTTCTTCACTTGCAATCACTTTCTATTAAAGGTATCCATTAATGTGATTATTTGAGTTTTAAAATTTCTATCTATTTTTTGTAGGCAATTTTTCTCCAAAACACAGCAAGAATATACTCCTTCAGTTGCATCTCACTTGATGCTCCAGATGCAAAATATTCGTTTAATCAATTGTTGCTAGACTGGGGCATTGCTGGGGATAGTTGTTTTTATGTAACATCCAAAAGGCATGATGCGTTTACCCATGAGATTAAGAATCAGGGATGGCTTACTGTTTGTGTAGGTGAGAACTCATCATAATTTGTGAAGCTCCAAAATCCATGTTGTCTTAGCTTAAACATTTATGATCATTACTCTGTTCTCCTTTGTTTTGACTAGCTAATAAGTTTTGTTTTAACGGTAATTCATACTTTGCTCTAGGTGTTGACAGTGGTTCTGTGATGAATAAGGAATTTCTGTTTATTAACAAATTGGAAGAATTGCTCCTCACTGTTTGCAGCCTCAGTAAAAAGGTTATTTTATCTGTATATTCTACATCTGATTCAATATTAACTTGATCATACATTTTTTGGATGCTATGTTTTATTTCCGTCTATCAGAGTGCATCTAAGATCAATTTATTTACATCGTGATATTGTATATGCCCCAGGCAATGCAGAAGTCTGTAGTAGTTATTGGGTATGTTATGAAACCTTCAAGGGAAGAAGATTTTGCAAAGGCAAGTACTCTGTAGAAATATATATAATTATTCAAGTGATTGAGACTTCATTTGTGTGACTTCTTGTTTGGCAGAGGGGTGCGTTACCCATGTATCCTACTCAAAATGGACTGATCTTTGTTCCTCTCACATTTGACATTCCTTTACTATCGCAACTTCAAGATGTTGATGCAGTCCTTCACAAAGCAACTGATGAAATAGTAGACTTCAACCCTCACATTTCAACGCATTTTTCCCATGGGATTTCGTTTTCCAAGGGAATGCAAGAGCTAGAAAGGTGTCTTTCCGAATTAATACATCTGATTTCCAGGGCCACAAAATGTTTACATTTAATTTTGCCTTTTATTTATGGAAATGAAAGTGGACAATGTCTAACATGCTTCAAACTTCAGTTCTCTAATAGAGGTCAAGTTGCAGTGAATTCAAGATAGGGTTAGAAGTTGCAGGGTTATCACAGTCATGAGAATTATAGTAATAATTTGTCACGATTTTCAGGTGGCTGAGGTCAAAGGTTGATATATCTTTGATTGAAATAAAAAATAGGTATAAGATGTGATGAGGATCTGAAATACTAAAAGATGTGGAAGGTAAGTCAGTGGTAGTTCATTAGAGGTCTCAAAGTGTGCTTGTAGATAAAACTTTCCCGAACTCTGCAAGAGTCTGACTGTTATCAAGCCTATGTAAGCAGTCTTTTAAATTCCCATAACATTCTCACCTACATGAGCACAAATCTAATTTAACCATCACAGAGGGAGGGGTAGCGAAGGAGGACTGCCACAATAGCAACACCACTAGCATATGAGCAAGTCAATGCAATGCCATCCTGCAGTGGGAGATATAAGCATGAAGATATATGTATTTTACTCTAGTAGTCACACAAATATACATACATATAAACTTATATGTATACTCAGTATTCAAAATATGATGACTCATAAAGGCAAGCTGTGAGCAACTTATGTATGCCTTGAGCAAATGTCTTAAGCAAATGACACTCCTAGCATTGCTCAAAGATACTAAAATTGACTGGAAGTTATCTGGACAAGAAAAGAAGGTTCCATTGAACTATATAATATTTTTCATTGGACCATCAACATAAGCAGCTTTTGGGTACTTCGATATTAAATTTAGACCACTAGTTTGGAAGACATTTCATTGTGTATTATGTGAGATATTCAGGATTACAACAGTAAGGTTCAATGATGCTCCTTTGTGAAGGTTGTGAGATATTGTGTTATGTGATACATTTAATTTTGATGGTGGACCTGGTACAATGGCAAGTTGTTCCTTTCTGACTTTGGAGAGTAGGGAGTCACGAAAACATTGTCTCTCTAAATGTAGAGTTAAAGGTGGTTATATTGATCCTTCCCAAACCCCGCTTGGTTGGGGAGCATCGTGCACTTCACTTAAGTTTAATTATTAAAGAAGCCAGATGTCCTTAAAAGATTATAAAAAAGCTTTAAAAAGAATATAAGTTGAAATGGTCATAGATTCTAAACAAATGTGTTGTATAATTCTGAAGGGTAATTTGTGTTGCATCTCATTCAATATAGAACACAAGAGGAATGTTTTAGTTTGGTTTCGTATGTTTAGTTTGGGTTATGCATTGAAGTCAATTGTAATTAAATAGTGTCAAATCACGCAACATAATTGCTAACATGTCCTCTGATGATTTAATCTTTGTGCAGGTTTATCCAGGACCACCCTGAATGTTGCATGATTGATCCACTAAATAATATATACCCTTTGTTGGATCGGTACAATATCCAACAACTTCTACTTGGGCTGCAGGAACTCAACATGAAAGATCACTGTAGACTGCGGGCACCTCATTTTCTAAAGGTCATTTTGTTAGAATCATTCTTTTTGCTGCATAAATTGAAAACAGTAATAGAGTGAGAACAAATGGGGAATCCTCTTTGAAAAAATTATTTGAATCCTCTTGAAAAAGCAACTTTCTTAGCCCAATTATTGGAATCTTGTTAAAGGATGACAATTGGCCATGGTTTTAGAACTTTGTGACTATATGACTGTTCACATGGTTGCATGAAGTATGATTTACCCAAAGCATTCATTGACTTTATAATTGATATTTTTGTTTTTCATGTTCTTAAAATACTTATTCCTGCATCATTCTTTTGTCTTGCTGAGTTGGACACATGAATATGCATCGATATTTGATTGTTGTGTCCATGTTCATGCAACATTGCAAGTGTCAGCTCATGGCACAAAGTTTTATCCCAAGCCATTATTATGAGAGTTAGTTAAAATGTTAAAGATATTTTCTTTGAAACATTTATGCAATCCAACTTCAAGTTGCCAGTGAAGATGCCCAAAGAAGAGTAGGTTAGAAACTCCAAGAAAGGACTTCATGGTTAGCTTTGCATTGTTGGAGGAATGAGCTTGACAGGACTGTATGACAGGGTAAACTTTTAACACATTTGCAAGTACTTAATGCATGAGGATATTCTCTTTTTGTTTCATTGCGTTTGTGATGGCAGCAAGATACTATTTGCTTAGATGGAGTTGATTATTGTGTTTGTGATGGCAATGAGATACTATTGCTTTGATGGACTTGATTTGTTCTCAAGCTATCTTAGACTTGTTTTAATCTCAAATATTTACAAATTTCCTTGCTTCACCAACCAATGTTCAAAATGCTCACATGTGATGCTTGACTGTCCAGATTGATAACTTTCATGAACCTAATCTGAGAGATCAACTATCAGAAGCAAATTTATCCTTCCCCATCATTGTGAAGCCACAAATTGCATGTGGTGTTGGTGATGCTCACAGTATGGTAATTTCTTGAACTACCTGTAGTCTCTTTTTTTCTCCTTGGGATTATATGATGCCCATTGTAGTGCACTAGATCGGAAGATGTTAGTGTCAAGATAATGATCTTTTTGAACTTGAAATCTGTCATGAGAATTGACTCAGTTTTTTGGATGGTTTTTAGTTTTAAATTTTAGTACTAGATACCTAGAGTCAAGGATGTTTTCCATAATAAGTTTCTGCATTAATGTGCTAGTAAGACCTTAATAAAAGACTAATCATTAACCCTTGAAGAACTTTTACACGTGGGTTATTATAATTATGAATTTTCTTTTGACAAGTTATTCAATCTACCCATTACTTCAACTTAACATTCATTTGTGTTTCTAGCTCTCTCTTTATTGTTTCAACTACATCTATGCTTCTTTGCAGGCTTTAGTATTTAAGTTTGAAGATTTCAAGGAAATTTGTGTTCCACTTCCTGCTATTCTTCAGGTGAGCAAGAAAAACTTGCATAAAATGATTACCTATGATGTCCCCTGTTGTTTTCTATTCTTATGAGAGAAAACTTTGCTTGCTCTGTGTAATTTAGGGTGTATCATATGATTTGGGTAGTTTAGAAACTTCATATTATTGGCATCAGGATCAACACATAGGAAGTAAAAGTTTGGTACATCCTGAATCAGCTGTGTTTACCTGATGATTTTTTTTGGTCTGTCTACTTTTGGCTGACATATCTAGTTTTGGCTATTTGTTTTTAAATTTTCCTATGCAGACGACCAACCGCACCAAATCATTCTTTTTCATGACTATTTACCTTTTTATCCCTTTCATTGAATCTACTCTGTGGTACTCTCCATTAATCTTCATGAAATCGTACTGTTTCCTATCATTTGTAATTTTTGGTTGAGAGTTGCAAATTGTTGATAATGTAGGAATATGTGGATCATGGGTCTCTGATATTCAAGTTTTATGTATTGGGAAATAATGTTTTTCACGCTGTTAAGAAGTCAATGCCAAATGCCAGTTTTCTAAAATCTTCGTCAGAGAAAGCTGGGTCGAAACCAATCATCTTTGACAGGTGCTGTCAGCATCAAATAGAAGTTATCTTGATTTATTCTTACACAGGAAGAGATTGGTGGTGGAAACTTAAGTGTGCAAAAAGATGATATTTGGTCTTTTTTTCTGGATGAAACAGTTTGAAGTCTCTTCCAGTTGCTACAGATGACCAATTCTCAGTAGGTAGGCTGCAAGGTGATATACAATCCCTGGATGTGGATCTAGTTAAAAGTGCTGCAAATTGGCTGAAGACAAAGCTTGATCTTTCCATATTTGGATTTGATGTCGTTGTAAGTGATACATCCTCTTCTCTGCCAGATATCTTATTTCTGGCATATACTTTGCATGAATAAAGATAGAGTGATACTGGATCATAATTTTAGAAAAGTTTTCCATAGATTGCATACTTGAAATTCATTATTTAATTAGGATAATAGGTATTTATTTGTCATGGAAACTCATTATTTCCCACCAATGTTAGATTCAAGAAGACACTGGCGACCATGTTATCGTGGACTTGAACTATCTACCCTCTTTTAAGGAAGTACCTGATACTGATGCTATACCAGCATTTTGGACTGCAATCAAGAGTGCATATGAGGCCAGAAAAACAAACTAGAAGGCAGCCACGATCATCAATTGCACTGCACCATCATTTGTTCAATAAAGATGCTTTGTGTGGAGCAATTTTTGGCAGGTCAGATTTAAAATACTTTCTCAAGCTATCTGTTAGCTGATGATCACATTTTGGAGTATCTAACTTAGCTTACACCAGACCTTTGCCCATCAGATGATTTCTTCTTTCCGTTGCACATGTTGAAAATTGAAATGCAAACATGAGATATATAACATATTTGACACTCCATTTTACGGATTCCCTACTCCCTACTCGGTAAAATCTTAGGTTAGAAAAGTCTGCCATGACTCTTCCATCAATCTTTGGCCACTTTATAATATGTGATGATTTATATGTGATATTCATCCCCTTCTTCATTTGACTCTTAAGTGTTTGCATTCTTTTATGCAGGTGTTAGGCTTTAGCCGACAAAGAATCATGTAAGCTCTTATTGCAGCTGCAGCAGTGTTGCTTTAAAAGATGTCATATTTGAGAAGCTTTAGAAACTTCAGGACTTAACAACACAGATGAAACAACTACAAACCAAAATATCTGATGATTTGGTGGGATTGAGCTTCGTTCTGATAGCGCAGCAGGATGAATTGCCAATATATCAATGAGGACCTTAGTTGTAGCATAGTTGGAAAATATTATGTATCAAACATCTAAACTACTAAAACTAATGATAATGGAATGACGTTGTTTTCGAGAATGAACTGTTTGAATAATGTTTATTAAGTCTGTTTAGTTCAGTTATAATCGAATAGAGATTTATTTAATATTTATTTATTATTAAGAGTTCAAGTCCTGATGGACTCTTGGTGGAACTATATAAATAGTGATGTAGTTTTTGTTTTTTTCAAAATCAACCAATCAATGAAATATCATTTCTATGGATAAATCTTAGGAGGTCGATTCCCTGGAAGTGATCAAGAATGTTGATCTCCTTAATCATTTGGTATTAGAGCTTTATCATTTGGTATCAGAGCGACGATCTTGACGTTCTCGTTGTAGTATTGTTATAGTTATCATTAATAAAAAAAAAAGGGGCGCAACCACGTACGACCGAAAACCCCTGCTTCCCCTCTCTACCACCACCGTCGTCGGTTGAAAGGGCTCCTGCTTCCCCTCTCTACCACCACCGTCGTCGGTTGAAAGGGCTCCTACTTCCCCAGCTTCTGGCCAGCCCCATCGTCGCCGTTGCTCCTCGGCTAGCAACCGCCATTGCCATCGCCCGCCTCCCTAGCTACACCACCATAGTTGCCTCCCCTTGGTCGCAGCTTCAGCCGCGCAATCCTGCGGCGTTGTTGTTTATGTGGTGCGTTAGAAACAAAGCAGGCGCTGGTTGCCACCACCGCCGTTGTAACTTCCTGGCTAGTGACGACCGTCGCCCGCCTCCCAACCAGAATCCTTGCTGCCTCCCCTTGGGTCGCAACCACAGCCGTCGGTCGCCTCTTCTTAACCCCAATCGCTTCAACGCCGCCTTCCCCTTGCTTAGCAGCTTCTGCCGTAACCGTAGGTTGCCATCACCATAGCCTCAACTCGGCTGCGCAACGATCACCCCCTTGGGTCGCAACAGTTGCAGCCACACCGACGCAGTCGCCTTCCAGCCCTCGGCACTCTCACCCCACGCAACGACAGAAACAGGGCAATAACTCTTCCTCCAACGTAGCGACCGTAGCACTGCCCTCAACATCCACCTCCTCGGTAACTTCGCATTGACAGCACTGATGCCCTTGACCAGACATCAGAAACAAGAACTGAGGATTATAGATTTGCAATCTTACGTAATGACCACCGATAACTCAATGAAAGCACAAATGGAAGCATTAGAAATCAGAATTGAGAACCGACTGTAAGAAATACTTAATGATTTCAAAAAGAACCTATTGGAGAGCCTCGGCAAATTTCAACAAGACAAGGGCTCAAGTTCTACATTGCACAAATATGAAAATTTAGGAAAATGGCCCCATGGTTGTGACACAAACTACTCTCACATGAAGGTAGATGGACAGCTCGCTAAAATTTGTCAGACTTCTACAGTGTTAGAATATTAAAGCAGATTTGAACGACTGTCAAATCAAGCCAGAGATTGGTCTGAACGACAAATGGTGAGAACATTTATTGAAGGGCTTAATCCAAATATCTGATGTGAAGTTAAGGCTCGTCAACCTCGTATTATGATAGCTGTGATCTCATTCGCACATCTATATGAGAAAAAAATTAGTAGGGAAAATCATGGAAATAGAAGCGACAACAACCAGATGATCAACAAGCCACCCGTCCCATCTATTCCCAATCGAAACCCTACATCCGAAGAATAACCCAATAAGAACTCAAGGAAAGATCAAAAAAGGGTTTGTACTATGATGAAAAGTGGAGTATAGAGCACCGATATAAATAAGGACAACTTTTAGATGCTTGAACCAATTGGAGAGGAACGAGAAGCTACGATCATGAAGGTATAGATTCTAATGAAGATGTTGGACCTACCATACATACAATGCATATATTAATCGGCTACTCTAACCCGCAAACTATGAAAGTTGGCGAAACTTTGGAACATCAGTATGTTATAGTTTTGATTGATACTAGTAGCACTAATAATTTTATGGACAGTGAAACTGTTGACCGATTGGCCCACCACATTGAAGGCTGTAACATATTCGAAATAGAGATCGCTGATGGACGGATTTGAACTTATGATAGCAATTGTTCAAAGATAAAATTGATTATATAGGATTAGGAGTTTCTTGCAATGATTACTACACTAAAAGATCGACCTATTGCTTACACTATCAAAAAGTGGAGACCATACTTACTTGATCAACGAGTTGTGATGCGTTGCAGATAGCCTATGACTGAAGTGCTAAAAGAGAAGCTCCCCGAGTTTGATGCTGCTCATGAGGACAAGGCTGATTTGAAGAGAGAGGAATTGTTAGGATCCTTTTATTTTATTAGCTTTTGAATAATATTTATTGAGTTTGTTTATTTTATGGGCTTTTGAATAATATTTAATATTTATTTGTTATTAAGAGGACTTGATCCTAATGGAACTCTATAAATAGTGATGTAACAATTTCTTTTCGAAATCAATCAATGAAATATCATTCTGGACAAATCTTAAAAGGTCGATCCCCTCGAAGTGATCATCCCCTTTTATCTTTCTTCTTTTACGATAAGAATTTAGGGTCTTACCATTTGATATCAGAGTCTTATCATTTGGTCTCGAAGTCTTATCATATGATATCAGGGTCTTGATATTCATGGAAGATGATTCACTTTCAAGGTAACTTCGCAGCGACAAAAGGTAGATTTACAAGGCTCAAAATCTTGTGTTCATGTTACATTGGTAATTAGTAAATGTATAAAGGAGTGATGTTATCTGAGCTTGTGAGGGACAGGATAGATCTCATTTGGAATTTGGAATCCAATAGATTGTCCCATAAGCGGGCTAATCTATATCTCGTATCGACGGGAGCCTCGTGGCTGAATTTGGAATCTATCGGTTGCATGATAGCACATGAGCCAATAAATCCCCAGATTTACTACTAATCCAATACAATTCGATCATTGCTTGATAGCACATGAGCCAATAGATCCCCAGATTTACTACTAATCCAATACTGATTAAACTGCCACAGCCACTCATGTCATCTCCATGCCTATTACATCTCTTTTTCCTGCTTCAGATTCATTAATGTCCACATCTTTCAATCAACATGCATATCAAGAACAGAAAACTATATTTGGAGCTAGCTACAGCTCTCAGCAAAATTTATTGCAACTCTGTAGCACCTAAAGATACCTCAATGCCATTTATTGCTCCAGCATACTTCCTTGCTCATCACCATGAGACAAGAATTGGTGTGTTTGCATGCCTGAGCTTCTTCTTTCAACTGTTAACTTTGCCTGTGTTACAATTAATGCCAAAGTTATTGATGTTGTTTGATTCCAAGAACCTAAATTCTTTCTAGAAACAGCCAGAGAGAAGTTAATGGCCAATTGCAGAGCAGAACAGCTTCTCTCTGTTACCGAGTTGTTAAATCATCATTCTAAGCATTTCCATCTCCTTCCAAAGACTTGAGAATGGCTACAAGGGGGGAGGCATAATTTGCCATAAACTACTCTAAACTATCATATAAGCTGGTCATGCATAAAACCACAGAATATCGGTGCAGATCCATCTTAAATGTGAGAATGCCAAAAATACAGAAGATGAACATGTTTCACATCGAGTCGGAGGTAAACTTGTACTGAAACCCTTTACCAACCATGCTGAACTTGAGGCAACACCCACAGGCTGATCACTCAGTGCTATAAGTTACAGTGACCTTTGGAAGAGATGAGCCACTTATTAGTGCCTGGACTGCCTCTGGACCATTTCATTTGTGGAATGTAGCCGACGAGTTTTCTGATACGAGAATTATCATATATGGTCATACTATAACCGAGGATTCTGAACAGCTGTAGTGCAGATACTGAAGTATAAAGCATATCCATCCTATAGAGCGTACATCTTCTTGAATTCACTATTCAGGATCTCTGAGTCTGAACCCACAGATAAAGACCACGATCGGGACCTGCTCCCTGAGTTCCGCCTGATGTTCCTCATGTTCTTCTCCTCTATCCGGTGAGCAACTACAAAGTAGCACATCGATCCCAAAGTGGTCAGCATGATTGTAGTACCAATAGCCATGGTTGACCAAGCCAGCCATGAGTCATGGCCCACCACAACATACGTTAGGGAGATGAAGGCCACTGATATGAAGAGGCAAGCCAGCCACATCAGCTTGTTCATTACAAAAACCATCCTGCTCTTGGCTTTCTGCTCAACAACAATCAAGGAAGTCTGGACGACCACCACTGCCAGCGAAATGAATAAAGCCAAAGAATCGGAAACCAGGAAGATGATGAATGCTGCATATTTTGCTATGTAGGCTTGTCCAAGGGTAAACTCAGTCTGATGTTCCTGAACAAACTGGCCGGGCAATTGGAATATGGCTGCAAAGGCCACAGTAGCTATGAGCACCGCAACCACAGTATTGGAATTGATGGCATTATTGAGACCTCCCAGGTGGAGCTTCTTAAGTCTCTTCTTGATCTTATAGACCTTCATTTCTGTTTGACGAGTTTGTCTGAGTTGAGATTGAACATCGTGTTTTATGTCACTAACAGTTTGCTTCAGCTGCTTGGCAGCAGTCATTGTATTTGCTGGTTGTTGTGCGACAACTGCACCAAATTCTCTGAGAATGGAAGCAATCTCTTCATTTGAAAACTTCTCGGCAATGCTGAGGGCAGTTTCACCTGCTCTATTCACTGCATTGATATCAATTTCTTTAACCGATAGCAAAACCTGCAAAATCTGCAAGGCCAAGAAGCACACAATTTTATTCAGTGCCAGCAAATGGACATGAGTGACATAGATGACAAAAGAACAATTCAATGCATTAGGTTTCCTCCAATGCAAACCAGTAAAGATTATGTCAGACCATGTTGTGCATCAGGAAATACATTTTTCTTACATAAAGCAAGTACTCCTTGTGTACTATAGAATAATCTAAGATAAAAGTACAAAATATATAAACATATTTCTTAGCTCCTCGGTATGACTGCTAAGAGACATTTATGAACAACAGATGAGAGAGAGGTGATGGGATAAGATACATTTGTGGACAGCAGATGACAGAAAGGTGATGGCAAACAGTAAGTGACAAGTAACTAGGGGAAAACAACCAGATGCCAGCCAGATAAGTCTACTGGCCAAATAACTCAAC